AAAGATTCTGTGCCAGGTAACAGCGGTGCTGCCCGGCAGCCCCGGCGGGTGCGGTGCCGGCAGGGCTGGCCGGAGCCTCGGGCCTTGCCCGGGTGTGGGAGTCCCGGGGTCACCCCGGCTGGTGCGGGGAGAAAAACGCAGCGGTTTTGCTGAAAAATGGTTGAATTTATTTGATGAGGCTCGGACCTAAAAGTGTAGAGGGGGCTATGCTGTGGATAAGCGGCAGAAGCACTTGTAACTCCAATAATCACGTAAGAAGTAGCCTTTTAAGAGATTTTATATAAGTTACCTTAATATTTAATACTAAATTCACAGTGTTTTGGGGACCATCAATGTTACATTTGAATCAAGTTCTCCCAACAAAGTAAGATGATCAGCATCAGTCTTCAGCTAAACATACCATAGAGTGTCAGTGAAATCATGTTATAGAAAAAATAGGAATTGAACCAATTACAGACTAAAGTGAACTTGATTTTTTTATCAAAGCGATTATGGCTCCCACGCAGTAGTTGACAGAAATGCATTGAAAGTTAATAGGTGGCAGTTACTTGGCAACTGTGTTGTATTGAAAACATATTTATTGCAAGTCAGAAGGGTCGGCTTATGCAGCTAGACCAACGGGCATGCAAGGTTTATTGAAATAAAAATTAGTACCTCTTACATAAATATTTGGATTTTTGTAAGACTGGGGACTTTGTTAATGGTATAGAGCTCCAGGTGTTTCTAATGCACACAAAAACTATATGAGCAGTTTATTACATTAACATTTCAGGCAATTTTTGCAAATAACATTTTTTCTACATTTCACACAAAACATAAACAGCAGAGTCAGATATTCAGTAAATTAAATTAATTATGTATAAAAGACTTATGTGCGTATTTACACTCTGGCTAGTTTTGTCCTTATTTTAAAAGTTGCCATTTAAGTTTAGTTGCCAATTTTAATCCAGGCAAGTTAATGACAAAATATTCATTATCCATGCTGTTCATAATAGCTAATAAAAATATTTTAAAATTTATTTTTCTAAAAAGACAGAATTTCTCTTAAAAGGTATTTTTAGTTTTGTTTTTTTAAAAAGCCAAATACGATTTTTCTTTATGTATTCAACAGCAAGGGTTCAATTAAAGTAAGTTATTAGGCTGCAGGAACCTAATAAAGTATTTTCCATAAGCAAGGTTTGTTACAGAAGCCGTCACTATTACAACCACTGTCTATTTCAGGAAAGTACTAAATTCAAGAATGTCTGGACAACTCATTCTGCATCTCCTATTGCATATGAAAGAGGAAGAATTTACTTGGACAATTACCAGTGCTGTATTAGCAGGTAATAAATTTACAATTAAAGGTTACCCTGGCTGAGAGTTTTAACACTGTGATTCTGTTTCAGACATGTTGCTAACTTTACTTATCCAAACAGCCCCTGTGAATTGAGTGGAATTTACAAAATAACAAAACAGCCAGGTGCATAAATACTTGTTAAGTTACACTTTTGTGCCTTCATGTGACACGTGCTTTGGTGAAAGAAAGCCTGATCTTACTGGTGCTGCATAACTTCAGCTTCCAGAGCACTTCAACAAGAGTGGAAGATGATCAGTGTTTTATAATTTTGCACTAGAAGTCAAAGGAATGATGTTTTTTTGTGATCTGGTAACTAGCAGTGTGCTAAAGAACATGTCACAGAATCAGCCTTTCTGACAAGCTTGGTGCTACATCTATAAATTCTGCATTAAAGAAGTAAAATTATTGTTCATGAAAAAGTACAGCATGCAGGTTACTTGCTGGTTTTTGTTAACGTATTTTGCAGATCAGTTTTCTGATCTGATGTACTCTCCTGTTCCATGATCAGGTGCAGAGGCAGAGCTTAGAAGGCAGCATGGGGCAGGGTAGAGGAGGGGAAGTCCTGCCTACACTTGTCCTTGCCCATCCCTCTTGTGAGGGAGGTAGCAGGGACTTGGAGAACTGCATTGCTGAGTAAGTTATGGTCAGAACAGTTTTGAGACAGTGTCCATGAGATACATAAAAGACTAATTACTCTCTCAGTGTAAACCACTGGGAGTTAATTGAATTAATCTATCACTTACAGTAGTGATCTAAATCTACTTAGCTGTGTTTTATTCCTACCTTGTCTGAATGGTTTCCAGCACTGGGTTAACATGTCTTGTATCATTCAGGTTTATCTTTGTCTCATCCTGTCCCTGAGGGGAAAACAGCACACTGTGAAGTTTTTATTCTAGTTGGTTGTTTTTTTTAAGTATCTGTACATCATGCCACACCTTTATATTATGACCTGGCAACACTGGAAGAGCTTGAGGGCAAGGTTCCAGGATGATCACTAGTTTCCTGGAATATGCTTTCTTTATAATACGTATCACTAAAGTAAGAATGTTACTATTAAGTTTGTTAATTAAAAACAAAACAAAAAACCACAACACCAAACCACAAAATGTAGAGAAGGTTAGCTTTTAAATATTATGTTATACTAACTATTGTTTATTAGGCCTTATTTTTAGAGCAATTTAAGGTTGTATTTACAAAGTAAAAATTAAATGTTTAGATTTCTGACCTGACTAAAGAGAAGGCAGGATTTATAAAACTGTGTGAAATAACTTGTTTATAAAGTAGACTAATGATTAGCAATTGTTTTTCTCCAGCATTGCACAAAAGCCAAGAATACTTTATCAAAAGCCAAAGTGTTCTAAGTCAGAAAAAATAGAAGATGCTTTATTATTGGAATGCCCACTGGTAAGACTACTTTTTAATAAAGCATTGTTGTGCAGACAAAACAAATTAATAACTGCCAGTGAAACAGAATGGTGTGTTCATTCCCTGTGAACTATTTTCTTGAGTATTTTTATGGAGTTAGGTCATTTAAGGTTTGCAACATGTGCTTATTAATTTTTACTGAATGTTTAGAGGTCTACTTCTCTGAATTTCTCAATAGCACATTCAAATTATTTTTGTTTGCTTTTGTGGAAGATTTTTAAAACAGTGCCTTTATGCTTATGCAACTAACTCTAAATTCTGTTTTGTTTTTTCTTTATTTTTTAATTATCAAGGGCAGTAGGTGGGATTTTTAGTTTTTACCAGATCTGTGGACATAAAACAAGCAGATAAACTGAAGACCCCTTAAAGCAGTTCTGCTCAGAAGGTGTTCTGTTCTTTCTAGCTAATAGGTTATATAATTTCCCCCATGCTTGAGGCATTTTTCTCTCATCCACTGTCCACAGAGGCTATAGGAATATTAGCCCCATCCTTGAGGTGCCTAGAAAAAAAGCAGTGCAAATACTGTTCTTAGCAATTGCTGTTGAGTTACCACTGAATCTTATTCTGCAGTATTTAAACAGTTGTCTCTTCAGGGCTGGTATCAATTAGATCACAAAGCAGTTATACTTCATTTATGCATGGCAAAGAAGTTTTAAAAGGTGTCTTATCTGGAAAAGATAACTGCCTTACAAAAGTGTGACAACAGATTATGTGATAGTCAGCTGGCTGCTTAGCACAGACATGAGCTTAGAGATCCTGATGTGATTAGCGGGCAGCTTTCCACATTTAATTCCTGAAAAACATGTATTAACTTTTGTTTTCTTGTTACTGTGTCAATTATGTCTCCTGGTACAAACTTTTTTCTGATGATATTTTGTTATGTAGGGGGAAATGCTACCAAGTCCATCTGACTATAAATCTTCCCTGATAGTCTTGACAGCGCAGAACTGGCTTCTACGTCTCTCTGCTGATAGTGGAGAAATACTGGAAAAAATATACCTTGCTGGTTCCTGTTGCAAATTCAGGTATTAAACATTGACTAGGCTTTGTATAATTAACAATCATTAGTTTTATACTGGAGAAGGAGCATCATGTTAATTTTAGTACTACCCTATGGCTGATTTCAGGTTTGTTAGTCCAGCATATTACCTGGAATACTGTTCCTGCATGCTGTTTTCTATAGAAGAATTTCAGCATCTTAAATATTATGTAATCAAATTTTATATCAAGTTTGACAAAAGCCACAAAAATTAGGCTACTATTGGCTTTTCTCTGACAGTTTTACATTGCAATAGCAACATACCAGGAGAGGACCTTCAAAAGCTGTAAAACAAACTTCATAAAGCATAAGAAAAATAGATTTATAGCTTAAGCCATTTTTAAGTAGCAAGCATTCTTCTCCATAGGGTAGCCATTTTGGTCTTTAAAAGGAGAGCTGTTACTGCTCCTGGTAAACTGGATCTTTTCAGTTCTCAGAAAAAAATATTTCCTTTAGGCTGAAGATTAAGAAAGTAGTGATTTGTGGAGGAAAGGAGAAAAATTAAGAATGGTCTTACTTTAAGAATTTTTCTCACAGTCCTTATCTGGAATAAGCCATTCCTAGTTCTGTGGATTTTGCATTATTGCAGACAGCAAACATCTTGGGGACCTTTCCTGAATTACATGCTGAGCAGTTTTCCTGGACACAGGGATCTACCTCATTACAGTAGATTATATTTTATGTGCAGTAAATATCTCAGGGACCTCTCCTGAAGCAGATGCTGAGCAGTTTGCCTGGACGCAGGGATCTGCCTAGTTACAGTAGATTATCTTTTACATGAAGTAATGTATTTATTATTACATTATTTTTAAATAATTAAAATAGGCCTTTCTTGTCACAAACAGGTATCTGAGCTGGGATACTCCTCAAGAGGTAATGGTTGTAAAGTCAGTTCAGAATAAGCTCCCTGCAGCAGCACAGCAGGTAAGTTTGTTGAAAAAATGTCAATTCTTAAATTTTTACAAAATTGATGAGAAAATTGTACAGGACAAAGGACAAAGATGGAGACATTATGCTTTGTTATTATGGTAGAAAATTAAGATGACCTACCATTAATAAATGCCTCAAGTATAAATATATTCAGTATTGTTATTCCTTCCCAGGCAGGTATCCAACAGTCTGTATTGTTCTATCTTGCTGTATTCCGAGTTTTGCCTCTTTCATTCATTGGAATGCTAGAAATAAACAAAAAGGTAAGTTAATTCCTCTATTAATCATGATCTGTACTGTAGTTGGATGAGAGGCATCATTTAGGCAATTGTCCTGGCATTTCAGAAGTTATACTTGCATCTTATAAAAGCATAGTGCTCTGAAACATTAATTAGCAGCAATGTTCTTCTTGCATCTGATAGAGGCATTTTGGAGACAATTCATAATTTCAATGACCAGAAAAGAAAAGAGAAATGCATTCTGCTATTGGGTTACTCTTCGACATGTAGAAGGACTTTACTTACAGCTATCCTAAGAGTTAGGAAATTCTAAAGTGTTTGTAGACTTCTTTCTTCTTTTTTCCTCTTTAAAGAAAGATAGATGTGTCTCTGGCCCACTCTGAGTAATAGTCTATAAATTCTGTTTGCAGTTAAAACTGTTTCAAACTCATATTATCATTGATGGCAAAATGTACATGTGTCTTGCTTTATCAGTCAAGAGTCAACAGCCTGAGGTTAGTTTGTGACCTGTAAGTAAGAGCATGCATACTAGGAAACCTCAAGCCAGATGGCAAGTTTTACTGTTCTTGTGAAAAATAATGTCTGTTTTTAGTCAAGAGAGCTCTGGATACAACTACTAAATGGGACAGTACAGACACGCAAACTCTGTCTTCAAAGCTCTGTGAGCTATAGTCTCATTTGGGGTCCAGAAGTCCTAGTAGGTTTTAGCTGGTGCTGGGTTGGGTTGAGGTTGTAACTGAGATTGGGCTAGCAAGTGAAGGAGGGGGGTTAAACATTTTTCTTCTGAGCCCATGGAAGTTTAGGGTCACTGTGTATTGTTCTGTTCAGAATTAGTACTGGAAAAAACTGTTGTTACTAGTATCAAAGGTATTCTCAATCTGGTTAAGATCATCATGCCAGATGCATTGTGGTCATAGTAGGCAAAAGGACTGAAAGAATACTTCCTCAGCTGGGCCTGTACTTTATACTCATCAGAACAATTGTTACAGCAAGGAGTAATGTCAGGGCAGGATGTGGGATCTGAGAATACACCCAGCTAAGGAAACAACCAGTGAATGCAATGACAAACCTGACATAGATCTGTGGAATGTTATATTAGAGTTAGGAAGAGGGTTACTGTTTAAGGCTGCAGAATGCATCTAATGCATCTGCTTTACTGAGATGGGACACCAGAATAAATTTGGAGTTCAGACTAGCTAAGGTCTCAAAAATAGAAAGGAGAGTTTGGGGTTGGAAGAGTATTAGTGTTTGTTTCTGAAAGACACTGGGTCCTAGGATAACATTTATTGATAAAAAGCCATAAGACTAAATGAAAGGCAAGGTCTCAGGAATGAATTTGTCTTTCAGGACCAAACTGATCACAAGATCATTGACAGTGTTATGATTTAGAAGTATTACAGCTGTTGGTGGTATGATTTGGTTTTTTCTAAAATTGTTTTTAAGCCTGTTTTAACCCTGTTTTAATTGCTTTTACATATATTGATTCAGATTAAAGAAATTAAAACTACATTTCCAAGCATTTCTATTTAAAAAAGGCTATAAGCTTCATGTTACATACTTTCATTAAATACTAAGAATAAATTGGAGGGGTTTTTCTTAGTGGAGATGTATTAAGTGGTGGCACAAATGAGTACTGCAGAGTTGTTAAAAGGGGTAAGTCAGCTTATCTTGTATGTGTCTAATTTGGATTCAGAGAGGATCTTGTGACAGCCAGATAATGTAGTTTTAGTACAGCTGTATGCAGTCACAGAGCCATGAATAGGCTAGTATTTTAGGCTAGTGATGAAGAAAGAATAGAAGATTTGAAATCAGTACTTTCAGATTGAGTTTTTAGCTTTGCTAACAATCCTGTGGAATGCTGGGTAATAAAATGTATTCATGTATTATAATAACTGGGTAGCATGATATGAAGATAAACTGAAAACTGATTAGAGAATTAATCTGCTTGCAGAATATGACTAATCTAGCCTCAGGTGTTACTGCAGTGCAAAGTTTTATAGAAACTCAGCAGAACAGATGAGCTACAGAAAACTTAATGAACTAAAACTGCTCATAGGGTTTGTTCAGAATAAAAATTAAAGTGATTGCAAAATTAAGGATATATTGTCAGAATTTTCCATTCTCTCTCAATTATTTCTTCCCTAATAACATTTTTTCTTCTTTTTTTCTTTTTTTTTTTTTTATTTCAGATATTTGGTAACTGTGTGACAGATGTTGCTGTTTCTAATGGAATTCTGATTGTAATGTATAGTATGGGTCTGGTCAGGCTCTATAACTTCCAGGCCATCTTTGAGCAGGTAATGAAATACAGAATTTTTCATACAGTGCATGCTGTTTTGAGGCAACAAATAATAAATACTCTTGTAATGCCACATAGGTACATGAGGAATGTGCCAATGTAGATAGAGTTCTTCCCTAAATCTGTTTACAGGCAGATGATGCAAATGGGTACACTGTCAGAAAATTATATCCACACCAGGTACAGGTGGCAAAACGTAAGAGATACATGGTCAGACATGCACTTAATGTAACTGAGAGGAGCTATGGGTATGCTAGACCAGGTTGTGCTGCTCTTTAGACACCTAGTCCAAAGTTATAGATGAGCATTAAGGCTAGAAACTGATGGACATGGAAGATTGCTTGATCTGAAACAGATGCAGCGATACTTTTGAGTTTATATTCTTCCAATAAAAACATCAAACATTCATTAAAAAATAAGACTTCAAGCAGCATCTAAAAAGATAAAGAATGCAGTAGTAACAGAGCAGTAAAACTAAACAGCAAGTAAATATGCATCAATAACGCTAAATTGTTCGGTGTTATTTTAGTTCATGGAACAGCCATTTGCGTTGGGACAGGAATTCAACTGGAATGGTCAAGTGGGAGTTGTGGGAAAGTATCCATTTGGTCTTCCATGTAACATTAAAATAACAGGTATTTATTATCTTTTTATTGGCTGCTGGCTTTTATGGATTAATTATGACTTCACCAAAAAAAACCCCACCTAAAAATTACGGTACCCACATTGTGCTGTAGCTATATTTCTGGGATTATGTTAAGGTTAAAATGTGCTTTGCCTTGCTTCTAATTACAAGTATTACTTACATAGGTCTTACCTAGAAAACTAGTACATCAACTAAGCTATTTGAAAAACTTTATAAGCAATGCATGAAGTGGAAACCCCTTCCTTATTTCTGACACAGCTGCTCCTGAGAAAGAGGAAGGGCTAGGACAGCTGTTAGTGACACCCAGAAACAATATGCTGCAAGCAAGAGATGTGAGAACCTTTAATCTGTCTTGCAGGGGGAATTCAAGGAGACAGAATATGACTTGTCTGAGTTGCATTTTGATAATTTTAAATTGTCAGAAATGTGCCAATTTCAATAAAGTTAATTCCTGAGGAGAGAACAAATTGACTACTAAAGAAAAAAATCACTGTGCCTCAACTCAGTAAGTTATAAATTTTCTGCTTTATGCAGTGCCCTTAATTTCTCTGAAACCAATCAGTCATTTCTGTTGGTGCATTTGAGACTGGAACTTGGTACTAAGAATCTTAATGAATGACCAAAGCCTGCAACTTTCTTTGAAAGGTTTGTTTTTTTTTTACTTTAAAAGTACATTCTTACAAGTTCATAGTTGAGGCACTATTAAAGAAAAACACCAGTAGGTTTAATCAATATCAAATAATGCATGCATTTATTGCTTTAATTTTTAATATTTCTCTATTAAATGGTTTTTACAGGTGACTGTCTACTTAAAAAATGCCTTTGATCTTTCTGTTTGCAAACAGTATCAAGATAATAACAGGGAAACCAAACCAGACTTATAAAAAAACTGATGAAAGACATAGATAAAATACAGACTTGCACAGTGCAGGCTTTCAGTTATAACGCAATGTTTTATCAGAGCAGAGTGATAAGACTGCTACAATTGATGGCCTGGGTTCTGCAAAGGGAAATTTCTCCTGGTTTTCCTCTCTGTCTCAGTGTGCAGAACTGCAGCTGAATGTTAGGGGCCCTGTGGAAAACATGCAGTGGGAGCTTTAATGGGAAGCCTGTACCAGATTTGTTTTCATGTCTTACAGATCATTGCAGGTTTTAGTTTTGAGATTTAAAACCAATGTACCGCAGAAAATATTTTTTATCTTGAATCATATTCAATCATTTGTGGTTAGAAGTTTTGAACTCATGACAGACATTTGCCATGGCTGCTTGTTGCAGATAGTTGCATTCCTGTGGTTTTTGAGCTGTTTTCTTTTAAGAATGAGATGGCTGACTGGCTGCTCAATGTGATCTAATCCTTCAGTGAGCCAAATTTTAAGTTTCAGAGTTTAAGCTTGTATTTACTGTAATTTAACTATATGTAATTTTCCTGCTTATTTAGTTGTAGCCTTCCTACAGAAAATGCCTGAAGGGATGGCAGTTATTACAGTGCTGGTTTTATGGTGTGTAGGTAGCCAAGGGGAAGTGTAATAGAGATCAAAGCTTACTGGCTACCATGTACTTACCATGTCATTTAGAGCTATTGACTGGTAAGGAGTTTTATTTTGGTCACAGTGGGAGAAAGGTACCTAGATGTCTTAATTATGTCACATTCTTGAAAGATCCAGAACTTTAAAACTGTAGTTTCATGTATTATTAGAGGATACAGTAATTTCACAAAAAAAACCCAGGAGGATGTTTTTTTCTATGGCATTTTGCTCACATTATTTTACATTTGGAACAAAGACTTGTTAGTGCTGCCAGGAACAACTTCATGGCTTTATGTTTAGATGAGGCTGGAGTGATTAGGAAGTGAACAAAGCTTAACTGGAGATGGAAAACTTGAAATGCTAGGTAAAGGATTTACAAACAATGAGAAAATGAGGTGTTGAGCAACAAGAGCAAGTGACACAGCAGGAAAGAGGGAGCTGAAGCAGCAGTAATGTTATCACTGTGATTTAGGTGGCTATGAACTTGCAGAACTTTGCCAAATGAACATAAAAAGAAAGGCATACTTTATCAGCAGCCTGTACTGCTCAGGATTGATATATTATTGAAAGGCATTTCAATCTATAATTTAGTCCCATCTACCAGAATTTTTGAGAGCCCTTGCTATGTATGCTTTATTTAAAAAGAAAAATTGATAGGGTAAAATTTTCTTCACTCATCTTTCATTTTCTGACAGATTTTAATATCAGTAAGTCCTCTGCTCATGCTGCCATCTTCAACATTCTCTACATTTTCAGCAGATATGTTGTTTTTTATAACCTAGACTTTGTTATATCTTACACAGAATCTCCCATTTCCTGTGTGTTAGTCCAAAAGACAACTAGAAGACAGCCCTTTTCCAGCTTAGGAAGGACTTCATTTCCATGGCCAGTCACCTAATTCCTTTCAGTCTAAATGGCTAAGTTCTTGGAAACATGAATGAAGGAAAAAGAGAGAAGCCCTACATAAACATAATTTCTGATTTCATGACATCTTGGCACCATTGGCTAGGATCTGGATAATTATCTAGACTAAGACAAGAATAAGTCAAAATTTGGATGAGACCTTTGGGTCACAAAAGTCCAGATAAAAACCTTGTTCTCCTCACAGTACTTCAGCTTGGGGTTTTATATTCTGCCTGTTTTAAAGCTCTGTGTAATTGCAGATTTTCTCCACATTTTGTCTTTTTTTTTTTTTTTTCCCTATCACTTCTCTATACTTTTAGAAAGGGATGATCTTCAGTCTAAAATTGATTCAGTTATAGTAGCTGTAGAAATGGCTTTTATTTAGCTAGTTGGTAGAAGTTGTAAAGATCCATGCAGCCCATAGCTTTCAAAGATGCTTCTCTCAGTTATTACACAGAAGACTTGTAAGAATGGTGTATCACATTTCTGTAATTTATCCCAACTGAACTGATGGGAAAACTAGAAACCTTTTGCCATTAATTACAAAACTACCTATATTTTCATTGATTTTTATGAACTCAGCTACAGATTCCATTCATTGTAGTCCATAATACAGCCACTGTTTGGCTGTATTACACAAAGAATAAGGAATACTCAGATTCAAGTGTACTACTGCATTTAATTCTCTTATTTGAGATTGCGGCTATTAGCCTGTTTCCAGCTATTTAGCACTAATTTTCCCAAGAAAATAGTGACCCTTTTGATATGCTCTGTTCGTGTGTATATCCTCATTCACAGCAGCTGGATTACTTTTAATAGTTTACCACATCTTTATTTATTTATCTAATTTGAAATAATGCAAGTCAAAGGTATCAGAAGAACAGTTCAGCATGAAGGCAGTAACCTTCCACAGAGAATTGCAGATATGTGCCTGGATGCTCAGTGATGTAGCATAGCTGGTGCTAGAAAAAACATCACAGCCAATATATTTCCACCACTCTTCAAATTCTCTGAAAAATTAGTAGCTCTACTGGAATTTAGAATTACAAGGATCAATGAAATTATGATTGTTCTGCTACTAATGGTGTTAACATTACTGGATATTTGCAGATACCCCACCTTTGCTATTTGAAGAATGTTCTCTGGAGAATGCATTTCAAATTGGAGGTTACCCTTGGCATTATATCATCACACCTAACAAGAAAAAACATAGAGGAGTCTTCCATATTTGTTCTCTGAAAGACAGTGTTTTGGTAATATATTCAGATAGCAGCTTCTCTGAAATGAATGTGTATCTGTTTGTCTTCTGAGTAGTGCTTGACATAACAATACTCTTATTTTCCAGTATTGTGCTCTACTATCCAGTTGAGTAATGTAAAATGTTTTCTTCTGGATTTGTACTGACCCTGATATTTCCTTCATTACAATACAATCATAGGAGTGTCAGTGCTACACAACAGGGTTTTCTCGGCTTAAAGCTTAAGGCACAAGCAGAATCTCATTACCTGATTCATTGCATGATATCATCTTAATGCCCTCCTGACTAGTCAGTCTACCAAATAACATGACTAAAGAATTAAGTTTTCAGAAATTGCAGAAAAAGTTTCCTTAATGCTTGTAATTAAACCCCATATTTGTATCTTCTCTCTCTCCCTGGAAAGATCTTATTACTTGATCTAATCTAGCATTCCCAATTATTTTTGTTTATGTACTATTCACCATGTATTCTTTTATTGTGAGCTCCCCATCTCAGCTTTTATTTTGAATCTGGATTTGACCTGCAGATATGTCTGTAATACAAGCAGCTTCTAGGCCTGTTTGTTCAGGGTTCTTACCTAAAAAACTCATCTGTAAATGTTCTTGCCTCTTTTACAAGCCTGATCAACTCAATGATCCCCCTTCTATCTCTTATTTTCAAAACAGATCTTTCACAACCATAGCTGAAGATTAATTTTTAATTCAAAGAGCTTTTTTTCTGTAGGTCCATACATTTGAAAATCTTAATGATCAGGGTCAGGTAAATTTAACAACAAAAAGATACTGCCAAAATCCTAAAATCTGGAGCAGCCTGCAGCTGAAATCATGAATTATCACAGCCTTACATGGTCTACAAATATATGCACAAAAGAGGCTGTGCCTGAGGTTTGAAGCTCAAGTCAAAGTTTGTGCCAGTGCTTTTTTCATTACTTGATACATCTCATGTCTTTGATGCTCAAACTGTTGACTTATTTGCAGAGTGTAGGCCAAATCTTAATTTTGCTCAGTTTTGAGAGAGGTGGGAACATGTATAGCCATGATCCTTGCTTATTACGCATTAAAAAAGTTGAAACTGCTTCATGGAGTATCTTAAGAATTGGAACTGAGTGCCTTTTTTTTAATCATTATTGTTCTACTGCCATTGTTTCTGGTCATTATTATGAGCAATATTAAAAACCTCCAGAGGTATTTGGAGAGGAGCTCTGTATTTCCTCTTTAATTAGATCTGTGCAACTTTAAAAATACTAATATTATAAGCTTTCCCTTCCTTCTTCAGGCAAAAAATGGAGTACAAGAAATGAAATGCTGTTCACTGGAACCTGATTGGATATATTTCCATCCAGATATGTCAGGCAGAATAATCCACGTGGGACCAAATTTGATAAAGTATGAACTATTTTTTCCTCAAATTTTATTTTCATTAGAGGAAAAGCTGCATAACCACAGCAATTCAGTAGTTTGATTTGTAGACCAAAACAGTCATCAACAGGTTGGATGGGGCTTTGAGCAACCTGGTGTAGTGAGAGGTATCCCTGCCCATGCTGGGAGGCTGGAACTAGATGATATTTGAGGTCCCTTCCAGCCCACACTATTCTATGTTACTATGATTGAGGCCCTAGAAACTGTACAATTTATTAGTTTGTCAGAATTGGAAGTTCTGGTAGAAACATGTGCAGATTTCTGCATGATGAATGTGGGCTCTGGCAGGCAACACTAGATTTTTATATGAACAGTCCTGATGGACCATTGTACTAAAATTTCACTTGATAAACATAACTTACAAAAATAACTTCAATTTCAGTTATTTCTGATATTTTAATATATCTGATTTTTTAAAAATACAAATGTATAGGTGTTGTAGTAGAATGCATGACTTATTTTGTAATTTCTGTTTCTTTTCTAGAGTCTTGAAGCTTAAGGAAGTTCAAAATAATACAGATCAAATGGAGATTGCAGAAGATTTTTTGATTGTGGCCAACAGAGAAAACTGTGTGAGTTTAGTGTCTGAGATAACAATGTATGATTTTAAGCAATACACAGGTAATCACTGTGGTTTGTGGGCGTAATTCAAAGTTTATTGAAGGACATTCCATGCCTTCATTGGACTAAGCTGGATGAAAAAAACTTTGAAAACAGAAACACTTTCAGGATAGCTTTTGGAAACCTCCAGTCTAGAGTTTTCAGCATTCTTTTTGGTATGCAGTATAACCATGTATCACTGATACAGGACATACTTACAAGATGGTGACAGATTTCCTTCAAAAGAAGGTGCCACCAAATTATAATAGTATGTATCTCTGGTGCTCAGGTAAGTTGATCATGTAAATACAGGAATTTTTTAAGTCTCTAGTAACTTGGGGGTAAGTCTTCACAAGACAACAAAGAGAATACATCACTTCCAAAAGTCTGTTTCTTTTCTTGGCCATGCACATCTGTCATTGCCTTGTGACAGGTTTGGCATTAATCTAACACTTGGTGAGCAAAATCAGTGTGCTGAAATAATTGCATAATAATCCAGCAGAAAAGATGAGTTCTGCTTGCTTTGGTGAGCTGAACCGCAGCTGGAACAGAACA